GCGCCGCCGCCGGCATGGCTGGGGCTGCCGCCAGGCGGGTAGCCGTACTGCGGCGCTGGGGGGAAGCCGGCCTGCAGCTGCGACGCGCCGCCGTACCCGGCTGCCTGCTGCTGAAGCAGCATGCGCAGCAGCTGGCCGTGCGGGGTGCCGGGGTCGCCGGCAAAGCCGGCGGGTGGCTGCGGTGGGGGCGCCTGCCAGCCGGGCGGCGCCGCCTGCGGCCAGCTGGGCGGGGGCGGCCTGCGGGGAGGGGCGGCGAGGGGGAGAAGCGAGGGTTTAGGGTACCACAGGCGGGCGACGCAGCCAGGCAGCAGGCGCAGCAGGCAGCAGGCACAGAAGCCGTCACACAGCAGCAGGCGGACGCGGCAGGGAGCCGGCAGCAGGGGCCAGCAAGCAAGGCCCAAAGCACAGCGCGGCAGGGGTGGGCTGCATGCCGGCTGGAGGCGGCCGCCGCCCCAGGCAGCGGCTGGAGCCCAGGCAGCCGCAGAGGATCTCACCCGTAGCCCGCAGCAGGCGACGCCCCCCATCCCTGCTGCTCGCCAAAGCCGGCGGCGACGGCGGCGTAGGGCTGCGCCGCCGCGTAGCCGCCGCCCGCCGCCTCCTGCTCCTGCTGCGCCTGCTGGGCGGCGCAGGCGGCACCGCCGCGGCTGCCGCGGCCGCCGCGGCCGCGCCCCGCCGCGGCGCCGCGCCCGCGGCCCCACCGCCCGTACCCGCGGCCGCCTGCGGAGTATCCCGGGGCGGTGTCGATTTCCATGGGAGTATCCAGCAGTACCGCCTTTGCCGCGGCAGCCACCGCGGATACTGCAGCCGAGCGCTGGGTGCGGGGGCGGGCCTGCGGGGGCCAGGAGGGGGACGGCGGCGTGCGGTACAACGTGAGGCAGCCGGCGGTACCACAGCGTGGGCCCCGCCTCGACGGCGGGGACAGGGCGAGGCAGCCAGGGCACAGGAGCAGGGGCAGGGGCTGCCGCGCCGCGGGGCTCCTGCACAGGCCGCCTGCTGCATGCTTGCCCATGCTGGGCACGAGGTGCTGGCTGGGCTGGCAGCCTAAGGGCTCTCACCCCGGGACCTTCCAGCTTGGCGCGCTTGGCTGCTGGGGAGGCGGCGGCCTTGGGGGCGGCCGCGCCCGCCTGCCGGCCCTCGCTGCCTCCGCTGTCGCTCTCGTAGTAGCTGCAGCGCCAGGTGGGGAGGAGGGGAGGCAGGCGCGGAGGGGCGGGGGACAGTCAGCCAGCTGCCCAGCACACAGCCAGTCCAAGCCAGGTGGCCGGCTGGTGAGGGCTGCGCTGGCTGAGGTGCCTGCCTGCTCCTAAACAGAGACCAGCACGGGGGGCCAAGCATGTGTGCGGGCATGTGCGTGTGTGTCGGCCAGGCAGGCTGCCACTCACTCGTCGCTGCCGCCCGCCTCTTCGGTCCGTGTCAGCAGCGTCAGCAGCGCCTCTGCCGCGTTCTCGGGGTCGGCCTGCAAGAGGGGTGTGGGCGCGTGGGGGAGGCATGGACGGGGGCGGTGTGGCGGCGGGGCGGTGCAGGAGAGGGGGCAGGGCAGGGAGGGCGGCAGGCGCCCGAAAGATGGGGGCCCCGGCTGGTGTATGGGAGCAGGCTGGCGGTGGGGGGGAGCAGGCTGGCGGGCGCCCCTGCACTGCCTGGCGGGGCGGGGCTGACTGGAGCCCCCCTCCCCCCCGGGGCTGCAGTAGGCCGCCCCCGCCGCACCTGCAGCCCATCCGAGGCGCGCATGGGTGCACTGCTCTTCTTGCGCCGCCGCCGCGCCGAGGCGTCGGCGGCGCCGCCGCCATCGCCGCCGCCGCCGCCGGGCAAGGGCAGCGAGTCGGAGCGGGCGGCCAGTCCGGCGTTGGGCGCGCGGGGCGCGCGCTAGCTGCATGGCGCGCCCCTCGACCGCATGTTGACCGCTTCAATGAGCTTCTTGAGCAGCCACAGGTTGTTGTTGGAAGAGGAGCGCACGCCATACACGAGCTGGAACATCTCATGCGGTAAGGGAGCAGGCAGGCGGTACGGGCAGGCGGTACGGTCGGCGTCGGCAGCGCGCAGGCAAGCTGGTGCAGCGCACAAGCAGGCGGGCCGGCGGGCGGGCGGGGCGGGGAGGCGGGCCAGGGACGCGGGGCGGTACAGGCAGGCGGTACATGTGGCGCACCTGCAGCTCCCGCTGCGCCATCTTGTTGATGCGGCGCACCGCCTGCCGCACGTTGTCCACCCCAAAAAACCTGCGTGGGCGGGCGCCGATGGGCGGCACAGGCGGGTGGGTGTGGGTAGGTGGGTGGGTGTGGCAGGTGGGGAGGCGCGGCGACAGGGCGAGTCGGAGTAGGCAGGCAGGCAGGCAGGGCAGGGCAAGCAGGCCTGCAGACCCACAGGCCTGCAGACCATCAGGCAGGCGGGGCGGGGCAGGAGGGAGGCGGGGAGGCACCCACCTCAGCGCGTTCATGCCCCGCGCCTCCTCAGGAAGCTCGTGCTTCAGCAGGTGGTGCCTCCTCTCCCCCTCCTGAGCATACGGCAGGCCGGCTGCGGCGCAGGGGGCAGGGCAGGGGGCAGGGGCAGGGGCAGGGGAGCACAGCGAGTGAGGGCGTGGCGAGGGGCAAGGGGGAGGAGCGAGGCAGCCGAGGGGAAGCCGGGCCGCGGCGAGGGCGGGAACGCGACACACGCTGCAGCCAGGCGCCCACGCGGCGCCCACCCCCGCCGCATGCAATAGCAGAGAGGGGCTGGCTGAGGGCCCTTTAGTGGGAGGGGCCTGCGGCAGGCGAGCGCATCCCGGCTGCCAGGCGGCCGCCGCTCCTGCCTGCTCCTGCCCGCTCACCCAGCACATAGTCTGCCTCCGGCTCCGCCTCGTGCACAATGGTGCGGTGCCACTGGCCGCGGCCGCCGCCGCCCAGCACCTCGCGCGGCCGCGCCTGCTGCTGCTGCTGCTGCTGGTGCTGCTGGAAGTAGGAGTATGCGCTGCCGGGGTGCGGCTCGGGCGCGCCACCCAGCGCCTGCTGCTGGTGCTGGTGCTGCATGTGCGGGTGCAGGGCGGGGTAGGGGAAGGCGGCGGGGTGTGGGGCAAAGGGCGAGGGCGCGGGTGGCGCGCCGCTGTGCGCCGCCTCGGCGCCGGCCGGGGCCAGCTGCACGCGGCCGCCGGTTGGCTGCGGGTAGGGCGCCGCCGCGGCCTGGCTGGGAGGGGCGGGGGCCGGCGCGGCGGCCTCCCACGCGCTGCCGCCGGCTGTGGGGTGCGCCCAGGCGGGCGCCGCCGCCGCGCCTGCGCCCGCGGCAGGCGGGTTGCTGCCGCCCTCCACGGCCGCGCCTAGGGCGGCCTCCGCCTCGGCCGCAGCCGCCGCCGCGTCGGGGCGCTCGTCGCTTGTGGGTGCTGCGGCTGCCTCGGGGCCGGCGGCCGCCGCAGCTGCGGCCGCTGCTGCCGCTGCGGCTGCTGCTGCTGCTGCTGGCGCCAGCTGGTTCTCTGGCAGGGAGGGGTCGTTGCCGGAGGAGGCGCGAGCCAGGCGCTCGGCGGGCGGCGGCACGACGGGGAGCTTGGGCAGTGTGGCGGCGGCCCCGCCAGCGCCCGCTGCCGGCGCCACCGCGGCTGGCACGCTGCCTGGCGGCGGGGCGGCGGCGGGGGGCGCCGGTTTGCTGGCCGCGGGGCTGCCGGCGGTGGCATAGTCTGGGGCCCAGCCGGCTGCGGAGCCCTCGCCGTGCGCGGCGGGGGCGGCGTGCTGCGGCGCTCCCTGCGGGCCGTCCTCCGGGCTGCTGGTCATCTCTCGGGCCGCAGGGGTGCTCCCTTGCTAGGATTGGGGGCTGGGGGAGGCCTGCAAGCGCGGAAGGACGTCACGACCGGATGTCTCGGCTGAGGTCAGCCCCCTCAGGACTAGGTCAGGCTGCGACCAACCCGACCCTAGGCGGCGAGAGGGGCGCCCAAGCCAAGGCCATGCGAGGCCCAGGGCGTGCAAACCCCAAAGGGGTCCCTCAAAAGCACCCAAAGGGATGCGCCGGACGGAGGCCCGCTCCCTCGCCCGCTTCCAGGCAAACCACTGCCCCCATCCAGCATGCGACGGAGCATGCCGGTTACAGGGGCAACAGCACACGGTGAGCAAACACCGCCCAAGCCCGCCGGGAAACGCACCCTGTCAGCCTGCCACCGCTCGGCTGGTCCTCCGCTTGCCAGTGGGTGATGGCTGGGTGTGTTGCAGGAGCGGTGCGCGCCTGGAGCTGCTGGAAACGTGGATCCTTGTCGGGGCAGTCAGGTGGGGAGTGTGGCTCCAGTGCGGCGCGGAAAACCAAGAGGTGTGCACGATTGGGGCACGGGGAGATGTGGTGAGGGCGTCGCCGGGGCGCACACACGCCAGTGCCAGGGTCTTGAGGGCATCACCCCCACACAGCCAGTTCCCGCACCGCCGTTGGACGCTGAGATGCAGACCGTGTATTCCAGGGACTCTTGTGGCGCGCGGTTGGCTTGGGGGCTGAGGGTTTGGGGGAGCGTGTCCCGCTGGCGGATGAGCAGTGCCTTACACCCCTTGATTTAGCCCCTCTCCCCAACAGAACTGCCTTCCTTTGATCATATGCTGCCACTCTGCGGCATGAGGGAAACCCTCGCCAGCGTCTGCCCCTGGCGAGCACAGGCCCCCCCACCGCCTCCGGCCGATCGCCCTGAGCCTTGCTCAAGACGGCTCAACCAGCGTCAGGGCGCTCCCCTGCCGCTCGCACCGGGCGGAGGGGGTGGAGAAGCTGGGTCCTTACCGCCAGGGCTTGCCCCTGGCGGGACTGCAGCCCCAGCTGGCACCCGCCGGGCGGCGCCCCCCAAGTTGCAGCGGCTGGCCGCCGCTGTGCGCCGCGGCCAGCCAGGCGTTTGCTACCAGAGAGGCGCAAGCCTGGCACAGGCACACCTGCGTGGTCTGCTCTCATCTGCGCTTTCAGCCGCCCGCTAATCCAAACCGCCAGCGGTGGCTTCACAACGCCTCTGGTCAAAGCATGGACGGTGGCGTAGAACAAGGCGCAGAAGGAACAACACACTTCTGCCATTGACCGGTGCTACAGGCTAGTTGCCCTTCGTAAGTGGGCAATGGAGAGCAGAACGCTCGACCACGCGGCGCTGCCGGCATGCATGAAGCGCGCATGCTTTTGGCGGATGGTGCTGAGCTAAGAGGGCACAGGTGGGTGTGTGATGTAGGTTTCAAGTGTACAGAGGGTGATGGGTGAGGAGCTTAGGGCACAGGTTGCGAGGGAGCAACAGGTGTGTGAGGGGCGTGACAGGTGTGCGAGGGGCGTGACAGCGTGATGAGTGGGGGGGGGTGCGGAAGCGTCACGCGTGCAGCAGCATCACATTGTGCAGCAGCAGCACGGCAAGGTAGTGGGGGCGGAGGCCCGCTTGGGCCACCGTGGGGCAGGTGAGGGGGATGAAAGGGAGCCAAAAGATGAACGCCAGCGGTACAGGAAAATAGCAGTTGGTCCACCGAATCAAACAGTACAGACGCAGGCAGTTGGAGGGGTGATGAGTCTGCAGAGGGAATGCTCGAGTGCCCAGAGCGCGCATGGCCCGGCCCCAGCCCTGACAGAAGCATCAATACAGCGCCTCTCCTCTGGTTTGTCGGGCGCCATGGGCGGGAGAGCGGGACGCGGGTGGCCTCTGCGGCGTGCACTTTGTGCGGCCTCACCCAAGGTAACTCCAAAGGGTGAGCACCTGCGGGCGGCAGCGGCGGCGGCAGCACATCGAGGTGGAGGGAAGCTATGCGGAAGCCAGCCGCCGATCTGGTCTGCGCCGCTGGCAGGCCCGGCTCCACTGTGAGGTTGCTGAAAGTCCCAGCGGCACGGCAGCCCAGCCCCCCTGCGCCCCACCTGCGCCAGCGCGGGCACCACAAAGCCCAGCGGGTCCCAGACCGCGTCCAGGCGGGAGGCATCCACGCGCGCCTGCCGCAGGAGCGCGCAAACGCCATGCGCCGACCCACCTGCAGCGGGCGGCGGCGGCACCGCACCGCGCATGCAGCGCACTTGGAGCACAGCTGCCTGCTGTCAATAGCACAGCCCAGAAGAGCTGCGCAGGAACGCAGGACCAGGCGCCGCAGCTGCAGCCTCACCTCTCTGCGGTACACCGTGCACAGCGGCAGGCAGTACGCGGCGCCCAGAAGCGCCACGCACGCCAGCTGGCAGCCGACCGCGGCGGCCGCGGTGGAGGCGCCGCCTCCGGCGGAGGCGCCCAGCTGGCTCCAAGCGGCGCGCACCATGCACAGCGGCGGGAGCATTGCCGCCAGTGGGAAGGCCGGTCTGATGTAGTGGTGTATGTGTAGTGGTGAATAACACAAAACACACCAACTTTCGCTCCCCGGGCAGGCCCAACACACACACACACACACACACACACACACACAAGGGGAGGGACACACTTTGCAAAGGCTAGATGTGCAGCGGAGCAGGCACACCAGGCAGGCCGGCAGCCCGCAATCTCAATTGCACCAGCAGCCCGGCAGCCCACCTCCGCCAGCAGGGCCACCGAGGCGCAGGCCAGGCGCAGCACAAAGGTGCCGCCGCTGCGCAGCGTGCTCAGCGCCAGGTAGCCGGCCTGTGTGGGCAGGTGTGGGTGGGATGGGCAGGTGTGGGGTGGGTGGGCGAACGCAGGGGTGTGGATGGTGGCGAGGAGGCTTGGCCGCCTGCCTTTCTTTTTGTTGTGAAAGGCAGGTTATGCGGCCACAGAACGGAGGCGACCCGCCATCACAGCAGCGCCGCCAGCACAGCAGCAGGTGCATCGGTATGGCAGGGCGGTGCCGCCGGCTGCTCACCGCCTGGAAGGGGAGCCTGACCAGGTCTTGAGGCAGCCAGGGGATGTCGGCGCCGCAGCCTGCCGCGCTGCCGGCGCAGTACAGGCGCTGCACCGTCGCAAAGGCGGCGACGTCGCAAGCCAGCTGGGCCAGGCTGGAGGTCAGGGCATGGTGCCTGCGGGGATGGCGACCGGGGGGCGGGTTGCCATCGGCGGTCGGTCCTGGGGAGGGCCACAGACAGCAGGCACACACGAACACTGACAGAGGGAGGTTCTGCATACAGGGTTGGGCCAGGCACGGCAGCTGGCTGCGCCTCTACGCACCTTCGGTAAAGGCGCCACTGCTGCCCCGCGCCGCCAGCTGCGCCGCCGCGGGCAGCACGCAGGCAGCTGCCAGGAAGGCGGCTGCCTGCGGCGCGCCGCCGCTGGCCAGCCGGGTGGCCGTCACCGCCCAGATGAGCGCGCGCAGAGCCACCCACTCCCCTTCTGTACGGTCGTGGTGCGACAGCTCAGCCTGAAAGGCTGCCTCCAGGCTGGCATCTGCAGGCAGGAGGAGGCGACGGGGTAGCGGCGGGGCGCGCGCTGCGGAACTGCGGCGGGCAGCCGGCGCTGCGAGACGTCTTGCTATCAGGCAGGTGCACGGTGCAGGCTGCTTTGCATTGCGCGCTGGGTGCTCGTTTGGGAAGCTCAGCGGGAAGCTCAGCTGCAGCAGAGGCCTCACCAGAGTAATGCAGGTGCTTGTGAAGGAACGCTGCCCCCGCTTCGGCGTGCGGCGCCGGCGGTGCGGGACGCGGCGCTGGTTCTGCACCCCCGGCCGTGCTGCGGGCTGCATCCCTCACCGATCCTCCGCTGAGCCTCGGCATGGCGAGAGCGGTGTCAAGCACGACGCAGGGGGTTGCGGGGGAGGAGGCGTAGCTGCCCCTCCCCGCTTTGGCGCCGTGTTTGGGTGTCGTTTGTGGGCGCTCCACTTGCTGCTCCGAGCTGTCTGCTTGCAGGTGCTGCTTATTCACAGCGCTGGCGAGGCAGGGGAGCGAGTTTCCGGCAAAGCTGCATGGGGTGCTGCTCGGCAGCGCATGCGCAGCCCGGTCCATGGGCATGCCAGTAAAATTTGAGTCGCGACCCTTAAGGGGGCAGCCGAGGGGAGGGTTTAGACGCCCTCTCGGCACCCAGCTGGCACTGAAACCAGTTGCTGCGTCAGGGAAGCACGGGCTGGTTCAGTGGGATCACAACCCTCGATGGCTGGATGAAGAAATCAACATTAGCAAAGCCCCTGCTGGACCATGTGTCGCTTTGGGCAGCGCAGCACGGGTCTCCTCATCTACGAAAGGGAGCTATATTACTAGTTGCAACTCGTTGCAATTGCAGGTCCATCTGAACGCGCCATTCCAATTAACCTATTGCCCAATAGCCTCTTCCCTCCAAACACCCCCTGAGAGAGCTGTTTCCCGCTTGCAGTAATTAGTGGAGCCGTTTGAGGCGGTCAGCGGGCCGCCTCGCTCACTCCGGCACCATTGAATGGGCGGAGAGCCAGCCGACTCCCAGCCCCGTTCCCGCTGCTTCAGAGCGTCCCACACGTCATAGAGGCTGGGCTACGCCCGCTGATTGAGCCTCCCCTCGCCCCCAAGCCCAGCCCTGATCACCGACTCTGCGGGAACTGCTTCGCCTAGCTCTCCCCGCGGGGGCATTGCACCACACAACGGAGAAATGGGCGGCGAGGCCGGAATTCAGCGAGCGGGGAGCGTGCTGGGCTGTGCAGGGCCCGCGCCTGCCCTCCCCCATCGTGAGCCATTGCGCCCGGGGAGTGGCTCAAAATGCTCGGCTAATTGTGCCTGAGAGTCAGGAGGAGCTCCAGGCCCGCACGCTGCGCCTACAGAAACTGCCGCCCAAATGGTAATAGCACAATTAATAGCACAATAGCTATAGCACAATTGGAATGGCGCGTTCAGATGGACCTGCAACGAGTAATACAGCGGAATACACTCATTACCCAAAGGGGTAGGGGACATCTGAGGCTAAAGAGCACCAGCAGCCAAGCGCCGCTCAAAGAGACCAGCTCCCAGCAGCGGCGCTCGGTCGGCGGGCGGGCTTGTGGTTACCGTGCGACGGGTATGCCGAGCGACTGGCGGTTCTGTGGGTGGATCACCCATCAATGAATGCATATGCATGGAAGGAGCGGGTGCGCAGCAGTAGGAAAAGGGTGGCGCCAGGAGTTTGTGCGAGGAGCAGGAGCGCCTGGTGCCAGTGGCACACGGTGAGCGGCCGGCCTGGGCAAGCTTGGGTCCAGGCGAGCAGGCTGGGGACTGGGGAATGAAAGGCATGGTAGGGCACAGAGGCGCTACTTGCGGGGGGCAGGGCATGCACAATTGCTGGCTGAGTCGAGAGGCATGAAACTGAGGCAGGTGGGGCCACAGCGAGGCCACCGTGACCAATCAGGGATGGGAGAGTGAAACTGAGTGCACGGGAGTGCGCAGCACAGCAAGTCGGCACGGCTTCGCCAGGCTTGCTGATGGGTGAAGAATGAAAGAATTGATTGGGAGAGGGGAGGAAAGAATTGGGCGTGGGAGAGGGGAGCAAATGCCAGCTTGTTGTAGGCAAGATGCTGACAGGAGTGGGACCGCGGCAGCGCTTGCCTGGCCTGCAGGCAGGCCAACCCCCGCCTGCCGGCGTGCGGCCTCACCCGAGGTAGCTCCACAGGCTGATCACCTGCAGCAACCACAGCAAGCACAGCAGGCACAGTGAGGATGCCTGTTGCAGCGTGACACAGCGTGCCCAAGCTGCGGGCAGCCCGCCTGGGGCTGGGCCTCCAGCAGGCACCCAGGCACACGGTACCAGCGGCACGGCAGCCCAGCAGCCCAGCGCCGCTCCGCCCCACCTGCGCCAGCGCGGGCACCACAAAGCCCAGCGGGTCCCAGACCGCGTCCAGGTGGGAGGCATCCACGCGCCTGCCGCAGGAGCGCGCAAACGCCACGCGCCGACCCACCTGCAGAGGGCGGCGGCGGCACCAAACCGCGCACGCAGCACACTTGGAGCACAGCTGCCCGCTGTCGGTGGCACAGCCCGGAAGAGCTGCGCAGGAACGCAGGACCAGGCGCCAAAGCTGCAGCCTCATTACCTCTCTGCGGTACACCGTGCACAGCGGCAGGCAGTACGCGGCGCCCAGAAGCGCCACGCACGCCAGCTGGCAGCCGACCGCGTCGGCCGCGGTGGAGGCGCCGTCGGGGGCGGCCAGGCTGCCTGGGGCTGCCGCTGCCGGCGCCAGCTGGCTCCACACGGTGCGTGCCGCACACAGCTGCAGGCACGCAAGGCAGGGCTGCTGCGGCGGGGTCAGGCCGAGGCGGGCAGAGTCGAGAGGTGGAGCGGCAGCGGCAGCGGCTCAGCAAGCCTGCTTCGCCAAGGCATAGCCCTGGTGAATGAAACGGTTAAGTAATTTGATTGAAATGATTGTATGCGTATGCGGCTGGGCCAGGCACGCGTGTGTGGGGACACGAGGCATCCGCTGGGTGGCAGGCCGGCCAGCGGGCTGCGGCTGCTGAGAGCAGCACAGAGCGTGGTCCCCGGCAGCCCGGCGGCCCACCTCTGCCAGCAGGGCCACCGAGGCGCAGGCCAGGCGCAGCACAAAGGTGCCGCCGCTGCGCAGCGTGCTCAGCGCCAAATAGGCGGCCTGCATGGGCAGGCGGGGGTGTGGGTGGGCAGGTGTGGGGTGAGCACGCGAACGCGGGGGTGTGGATGGCAAGGGCTGGGCTCACGGCCACAGCTGGCGCACCGACAAGAACAGTGGCAAGGTGCAACGCAGCGCGGTGCCGCTGCCTGCGGGCGGGCCTCACTGCGTGGCAGGAGAACTGCAGCGTCTGGCGGAGGAGGCACCAGGGGCTGGCCGCCGCCGCCTCGGCCGTCGCCGCGTACAGGTGCCGCATGGTGGCAAAGCCCGCCACATCCGACGCCAGCTTGGCCAGGCTGGAGGCAACGGCGTGGTGCCTGGCAGGCAGCAGCGGGGGGCACAGCGGGGCGGTGGCGACAGGGGTGGGGACAGGCAAGCTGCGAAGGGCGGCGGGAAGCAATGGGGTGGTCCAACCCAAGCAGGCGTTAGGCTCCAGGGGCGTAGGTGCCGGCAGGCGGCTGCGTGCCAGGCAGTACCTGCGGTACAGCGGCCACCGCCACGCCATTGCCGCCAGTTGCGCCGCCGCGGGCAGCACGCAGGCGGCCGCCAGCAGCGTGGCTGCCTGCGGCACGCCGCCGCTGGCCAGCCGGGTGGCGGCGGCTGCCCAGATCAGCGCCCGCAGCGCCGCCCACTGCGCCTCCTCCGCCACGCCCTGCTGCGACAGCTCAGCCTGGAAGGCTGCCTCCAGGCTGGCATCTGCAGGCAGGAGGCAAGCCAGCCATGCATCGTTGGCATTGCACGCGCTCTTCCCCGGCGCTGAGGCGGCAATATCCCCAGAAAGAAGCACGATGCCGCTCTCGCTCACGCGCCGGCAATGCCATCAACGGCAGCATGCGCAGTTTGGCAGGGCCGCTGACACGGGGCTCACCAGCAAACAGCAGGTGCTTCCCCAGCAGCGGCTTCAGGTCGGGGGCCACAGCGGCAGAGCATGGAAGGTCGTCCAGTGGCGTCAGTCCCGCTGCCGGCGAGGGTGCCGCCCCCGCCCTATGCAGCAGGGCCTGCTCCAGGCCGTCTCGTGTACACTGCCTGCACTCAGCTCCGCCCGCTAGCCCCTCCACCTCCATCGCACTGTCGAAGGGCTGCGGGGCAAACTTTGCCATCCCGCTGTGTCGCACTACCAAGGCCATGCGAGGGCGCCGCCAGGGCCTCAAGCAGCATCAATAGGCCGCAAGCAGCAAGCGGTGCTCGGGCCTGGGTGGTCACCGATGGCAGGGGTGTGGGGGGCTGCTTGCTGCTGGCAGTGCCAACTCCAAAGGCTGGATCGGGTTTCTGATCGGCTCTGTGTCGATGCCGGGCCTGTTCAGTGTGGAAATACAATCGAACTCACACATGGTACTGGGAGCGCGCCAGGAAGGTGGCGGCGGCAAGTTCAAGCACTCCCCCATTCGTCGCCCTGGCGATCGCACCCAACGAGGGCGGCGCAAAGTGAGCGATTGAGCGTGGGCAAGCCCGGCCACTCGTTCAGGGCAAGTTCGACCCCCGCACCAGTACACAGCCCCACTAGGCTGGCTGCGTTCAGCCGTCAGCCTCCTGGCTGACTGCAGGTGGCAGGCGCAGAGCAGCTGGCAGCTGAAACTACCCGCCGCCGGCCGCCGGCTGCCCGCCGCCGCCCGCCGCCGTTTCAGGCGCCACCCTTCAGCCGCTGCAGCCTGCGCCCCTCGAGGGCCTGCATGGCCGCCCAGCGCTCGCGGGTGAGCGCCGCCTCGCCGTGGCTGAGCGCCAGCAGCCGCGCCAGCTGCAGGGGCATGTCGGGGCGGGACACATCAGGCGCGACAAGCGGGGTCGCCCATGCAGGGAGGCGCTTGGTGCCACGCATGGTGCGAGGGGAGCAATGCGCACGCCGCCGGCTGCACGCCCAGCACAGGGTGGGAGCAGCCGTGCCGCAGGCGTGGCGTGGCGCAGGCTGAGCCCCATCCAGCCCCTCGGAGGAGGCGAGCAGCGCAGCATGCAGGCGCCGCCGCCGCCAGTCAGCTGCCCCCCTCGCTCCAAGTCAACAGTTCAATCATTGGCAGCGAATGCAGCAGCGTGGTAGCCAGCTCACGTTCATCCAGGCGTGGAAAGTGCGCTCATTCACGTCGCGATCCTTCTGCCGAGCCCCCGCCAGCTCTGCAGCGCGGCGGCGGCACGGGCGGCGGCAGCCAGCAGCGCCGGTGGGGGCACGACGACAGCGGCTGGCAGCAGGCAGCGGCGCGGGCGATGATGCTGGCAGGCGCGAGCGGCCGGCCTGCAGCAAGCAGGCGCGCACAGGCTGCCGGCATGCGTGCTGCATTGGTGTGCCTGCCCAGGCTCACCCTGCTGCAGGAAAGTTTCCATGTCGGGAGGTATGGCAAAGTCGGCGGCGCGCGCGGCCGCCAGGTAGGCGCGCAGTAGCTCCAGGTCAGCAGAGGCCGCCGCCGCCGCCACGGCGCTCGCGTCGGCTGCGCGGGCCGGGATCGGGGGTACAGGGAGGGGCGGGAGGAGGTGAGATAGGATAGGAGCGGTATCACGGCCACAAATGGAAGCAGCGACAGGCAGAGGCAACGGGCCCAGGCAGCGTGCTGCATTCCCGCTTGCCGCCTGGCGCCGGGCCTGCGCGCTGGGGGCGACCGGCTGCGGCGGCGGCGGCGGGGCGCGGCCAGGCGGCGCGCACCTAGCGGCGCGGTCGGGCGCAGCGGAACCGCCACGCCCGCCGCGTCTTTGAGCAGCGAGCGGCCCAGGCTGAGCACGGTGACGGGTGCGTCGGCGGGCTGGTCCAGGGAGAAGAACTCAAAGTCGTAGGCGACGCGCTGGCGCCACATCAGCGCCTCCAGGGCCTGAGGCAAGGCAGCGGGCGGGCGGCAGCGGGGCGGGCGGCGGGCGCTGAGGCCTGATGTTTGTAAAGCTGTTCACAAGCACGGCAGCCAGCGCAGCGCCTCGCTGCCAAGACAATCGCTGAAAGCCCGGAGGGGCCGCAGCCAGGCGTGGGCCCCCAGCCGCTGCCCCCGCCGCTGCCGCCGCGCCCTGAGCCCCCGCCTCCTGG